GCATAATATAACGAGGCGAGCTGTGATAAGCAACACGTCGTATCGAATTACCGATCTTCCAATTAACCGACCAATAATGCGGCATGCACCTTTTAATTTCTTTCAAATACTGCCAACTCACGCAGTATCCACCAACCACTAGAAATTTTTTTATTGGCCATTGCAACCAAATAACACAATAGACACATTTTGTAAGCAACAACGGGGGGCTAATCAACTTCAAACGAGAACAATTGCGCCGAGTTGGTTTCTGGACAGGATCGATGGGAATTGCAAGTGGTTTGAAGGTTGGTGGGGGTATGTATATAGGGAACCCACCTCAAACGATGCAAAATGATTGAGTCCCATATTAAATAAAAACAGTGCTGAGATTGCTCAACGGATATCGCTGCGGAAAATCTAAATTCGATTCGATTGTTAGGATATATCTCCTACTTTTTAAATAAGAGAAACTAACGTGTTATTAGTTCTTATGTAAATAATGGCATGTACTGAGATGAAATGATTAAATCGAAGGTAATAATTCTTTTAAAAGGAATTTCCAGTTTATAGAAATGATACTCATGTATCATTTATCAAGTACTGGAATTACATTTAAATATTAAACGAATTCATTTATAGTCGTTACCGAATCTGGTTTTACATTGCGTGTCAGAACAGATTGGCTTAATCTGAAATCTTAAAAGTGGCAATTGAATGTAAGGGGTTATAAGGCAAAACAACCATAATAGCGCTAAGCAAATATGAATGTTTGTAGTATTAAGTAATATAATACTACAATTATTAAACATATATTACAGCAACAATATTAATTTAATTTTATAACTATCATTTGTTTACTCTTCAATAATTTCCTTATTGTTAGCTAATCAACTAGGAAGCAAACAAATTGTGGCTTTCCAGATCAAAGGCGATCTACAAGTACTTTGAAGGGATAGCAGAAAACTGAATGACTACCGAGAACCCATTTCAATCGATGCGAAATGATTGAATTCAATACGGGGCCGTGGCACTTAACATCCATCAAAACACTAAACGAGGAGTATTTAGAACGGCAACCAGTTGTTGCCGGTTGCACATGCAACATGTTGCCGGTTGACATATGAGCAGCAGCAACATCAGCGGCAACAGCGGCTGAAAAAGAAGAAAGGAACTTTTGCCGCCACACCAAAGTCCGGTGTTTTTCGAAGAGCAGCGGCTACTACACAGGAATCCCCGGGAACTCGGGGAACCTGGGCAACTGGGGACCTAACAAGCTGAAGAAGCCGGCCCAGAATTATGTAACAACCATCGCACTGGCAGTGGCCTGCAAATTTGCAAGTCAAGAGTCCAAGAGTCACTGGAGATGTCACTCTGTGCGGATGGACAACTCGGCGGACAGATGAGCAAAGCGGCCGCCGCCTGGATTTCCTCCTCGGTTCCTGGGCTCCTCTGCTGCCCATTCGCTTGGTTGTTGAACTTAATCCCAGCATGATGGTGCAACATTTGCCGAGTGTCCGTTGTCCTGGCAAGGTTGTTATGGACGCACCACCACCACCGCCGTCGCCGCTCGTTTGTTTGTTGTGGCAAACACAGGTGGTGGTGGATTTCAAGGGGATTAAACCGTAGGAAACCACTGGAAACATCAACACTTGTCCGCCGAATAACCACCGAAGATGATCTCACGACGCGACAAATTGCTGCAGCAGCCGTGGGAGCAGCTGCGGTACGCCCAGCACCGCGAGAAGGTCATGTCCGCCCGCCCAGCCATCGACACCCACACGCCCCGTGCCCACGAGCACGTGCAGCGCAAGTGGAAGAAGCAGCAGGTCGAGCGGGAGCGCCAGCAGCAGATCGAGCGGGAGAACCTGCGGCTCCTCCAGAAGCTGGGCGACATCATGCGCACCAAGCGCATCAACAACCTCTGGCTGGAGCCGAGGCCCAAGTGAGTGGCGTAGGGGGATTTAGCACTAACTATACGTGACTCAAAGAGGGAGACACCTTTGAGCTCCGTTCTTTAACATTACTAACTTACTTTCCTATCCAAAAACTAAAATCAATTCTTTTTAAATGTAACTTACCCTGAGTGTTTCACCTTAGCAACATATTTGGATCTGTTACCAATCAAACATATTTTAGAACGTATTGCTGTTTGGATTCATAAACTAATAGGTATTTGTTTTCAGCTATCAATGGTATTGATATAAATTTGAACTCTTGTTCAGATTTATAACTGTTAGTTGATTTTTATATTTTGAAAATTAACTTGCCTATAAAATTAGGGGTGGAGTACTCTAAAAATTATTTGTTTTTTGAAGGGCTTTATACATTTTTATTGCATTATTGGATATATTGGCTAGCTTTTTCTGATATTCCAATCTTATATCGTTTTAAAAAACTGTTTAAATAAATGTCAAAGTTTTCCAAAACTAATTATATTCGTAATCTTACCATATCTCATTTCAGTTTCCTCAACCGCGAGAAGCTCTTTCCCACCCGCCCGTACTCGAGTCTGCCGGAAATCGTCACTATTTATGGGAAACAACCGCCGGGACCGCTCATCTACGGCACGCTGCCCAAACCGACGGTTGTGGGTCGGTGTCCCACCTGCAGTGGCAATCCGGAGCGCACCGAGGTGGCCATTCCCGAGCAGCGGACTCCTTGGGCGCCGGAGAGGAAGTCGTGGAACCGGAAGAACCAGGAGCAAGAGAGAAAGCAGCGCTGCTACCACTGCGGATTCGTAAAAACCACCGAACGCAAGTTCTTCGAGGAGTTCTCCTACTCTTACTCATACGACGAATGATGAAGCTCGTGGATTTGTAGTCAAATAAAAAGAAATTCAGGTTTATTCATCAGCCTTGGGTATGTTCGGTGGCAAAGTGGCAAAGGTGAGGAAGCCCGTGTGACCGGGCAGCGTTTGGGGATTGCTGGAGGTCAGGTATTTCTTCACCTCCTTGGGCGCTTTGCTTTCCTCGGCATTGGCTGCCGTCGCCGTCGTCTCTTCGGTTTTGGGCAATTTAAGGAACTCCAGATCGATGACGGGCAGCGTGCGCGTCTTGACCACATTCTCCTGCTGCAACACCTCCAAGGAGACGATCTCGTTGAAGCCCAGTTTGGTCAGCTCCTGGATGCAGCGCTGCGACTGCTCAATGCAGGGCGAGAACGAACAAAAGCGACCGCCTGGGGAGGAAGAGTAAAGGAAATCAGGTTTACATCTTACATCTTAAAAATAGTACCTCTGTTTTTAGATTTTTACCAAGATTTAAATATAAATGTGGTTGCAAACTTGCATGCCCAACTTTCCCTACATTTTTGGTATTCGATTGGCCTGCCTTTTAAGACGCGGTTCCAATGCAGTAGTGGTAACCTAGGTCCGGTGCAAACCTGCTGAACAATTGAAGTTCCCATCCGCCTAATGACAAACTCGCCCGGTCAGCCTGCCTTGGCCGCATCAAGTGTCAAAAGCGGGCTCATTCAATGTCAAACACGGTGAAATGGCAGCCCGACTGACTAGCTGACTGGATCTCTGGCTCACTGGATGGATAACTGACTGACTGACCGACAGTGTTGGTGTATATAGGTATTTTATAATATGTCTTCTAACTAGGTACATTGTAATAAGAGTTACAACTATTTTTTTCTATCGTTTTCTAAAGAATTTGTAATATATTGAAAGTATATCACGTCCTATAAAATTATTCTATACTTCAATAACCTGTTTACTGATCTCTGTGGAAAGATGACCATAATTGCGTTAGGTTACCTAGTACCTAAGGAGCGGGATACTATTTAAATGACTTCCCCTAGGTACTTATGTTCGCCAGCATGGTGTACCTAGCTCAGGCAACCCAATAATGTACCCTGACATCGCTGCCAACCAGAGATATCCGCCTGATTGCCGGATTGCCCGCAAAAGGGCGCTGACAACTAGTTGTCAACGCGATGTTGGCCACTCACCGGACAGCTTCAACGCCTTGAAGGCGTGCGGTACGGCGAGATCGGGTGCGGGCAGATCCAAGAAGACCGCATCGGCCTTTCCGTCCAGCTCCTCGCCGAAGCCCAGGTTGCACACATCCCGATGGTAGACGGTGACGAAGTCGGCGATGCCATGTCGCCGGAACTCGTCGCGTGCCTGATCCGCTCGAGCCTCGTGGAAATCGAAGGTGTGCAGGTGTCCAGTGGGTTTCAATGCCCTCAGAAGTAGTGCGATAGGGATCCTGATCCTGTGCCCGATTCAATGACCACCGCACCAGGTTGAACCTCCAGTTGGTGGATAATCATACTGATATCAGGGGTATAGATGATCTGGGTGCGATGGGGAAGAGTTTGCGTCCACAACTCCGGCGTGGGCTGCAGGACATGGCCCAGCCCTTGGAGAGCTCCACTTTGCTCCATACTCCACGCCTATGATATCTGTAACAAACATTTCTTTTAGATCAAGCTAAAAATTAAGGAATTTTAAACTTACTTTCCACTTTAGGGATCCATAGTTCGTCTGAAAGATATGAGGTATGGTTTCTCCTCTTTTATTGACTATTTCCGGCACCGCTTCAATTGCATGCATGGAACTAACACTTAGGTATAGTATCACGACATCGCCCTTTTCTATGTGGGTCTTGGGTTTCAGAAACTCATGTTTTATGTTAAAAAACTACAAAACTCCGGTTTATTTACAAAATAAGCGCGTGTTTAAAATCTAGAGGTGGAAGTTTGGGACAATCAACAGGCAATCGATAATTTTACCAGGGCTGAAATAACATGATGTTAGCATTTATCGATAGTATCATCGATTCTGGTTCCACCCCTATCTTCTCTTCTTCCTTCTTTTGATTTCCGGAGAGGTTTGTGTTTTAATTTTAATAACTATTTTGATTGCAAAAAGCGATTAAAAAGCTAAGATAAAGCTGCTAGAGATACCTACTATGTGTCAACAAACGACTAATGTTATTATCCCTATGTTTCTTGATCTTTTCCATGTTTTGTGTGGAAACATGGATATTCCGGGCGATATTATGGAATAGCAGCCTAAATATGGTGCAGCGTTTGACTTTGAGGCGACGTCTGTCGTACAACACACGCTCCAACAAGAGGCGCATGTGAGTAAATAAGATTATAGTAGATCTCCAGTATGACAATGGTTATATCCCATTTGTTTACAGTGTGCGCACTCCCGGAGGCCGTCTGGTGTACCAGTACGTGAAGAAGAACCCCACTGTTCCACGCTGTGGCCAGTGCAAGGAGAAGCTGCACGGGATCACGCCCTCCAGGCCCAGCGAGCGTCCCAGGATGTCCAAGCGCCTGAAGACCGTTTCCAGGACCTACGGCGGAGTACTGTGCCACGGCTGCCTGCGCGAGCGCATCGTCCGTGCCTTCCTCATCGAGGAGCAGAAGATCGTCAAGGCTCTGAAGAGCCAGCGCGAGGCCCTGGTCAAGCCCGTCAAGAAGGTGGTGGAGAAGAAGCCGACGAAGGCCAAGGCGCCTCCAAGAAGCCGGTGGGCAAGTCTGCCGGAAAGCCCGGAGCCAAGGCGTCGGCAAGAAGCCCGCCCCCAAGGGCGTCATCAAGTCCAAGAAGTAAACCGCCGACCCACCAACCACGGGGATCTAATTTTGGACTGCTTTTTTAATAAAAAACCACAAACTGGACACGTTACCACCACCTTTTAATCGTCAGTTGATAGTGACAGTGAAATTACTTTGTTTCGAACTCAAAAGCAGTTTAACTTTCAGAACCAAATCATCAGATGATTTTTATAAATAATGTTCAACAATCAACAATTTTTGCAAGTTACTTATTTTTAGAATATATAATATTCAAAGAATATTGATTGTTGGAAATTTTAATATAATGTGATGGTCAAAAGATTAATCAGTAAGGTAAAAACTTCAAACTAGCCTTGTGAAACCGGTTTTATATGAATTTAGTCATAAATAAATGTGATTAAAGAATTGGCAGGAAAGATAATGGAATTTATCTGTCAAGTTAAACATTTTAATATTAATAAACGCCTATTTTTAAATTTGCATTTTTCAAAAAAGTTTGAATTAAAAAACAGCTGTTCATAAGGTAAACAAGCGGCACCGTCTTCTTCTTCTGGTTTGCCATTCACATTTTCACTGACATGTGAGCCACTGCAGATTGGTAAAAACTTTTATGATGCCACAAATAGCAAATAAACCAAATGAATCGTGAGTTTTATATAAATTAAATTAATTAAAATGAGATAACCAATGTACTTATCAGCACAATAGAGTGCCGTTTGAGACGCCACGCCTGGCAGAGATCGCCTACAGAGTGCTTAGTGTGGACCAGGAACCGCGCCGGAACTTCGTGCAGAAAACTTTGAGCCTGGATGGCGATGTCCTGGTGGTCCACTTCCAAGCCGACCAAGTGAAGAGCCTGCGCACCGCCATCACCTCCTTCTTCGAGAGCCTGCTCCTCTGCCAGGACACCATCAAGCAGTTTGGGGACTCCCCAGAGGACAAGCCAATCCCCGCCAGCACCGAGGACGATGCCGGAGCACAGTCCGGCTCCGACTCCGCATAGGGCCATCTATGGATTCGCCTTCTATATGCTGTTTACTGTCCTGTTCCTCGTCTACGTGGCCTGGGCCCTGTTACCCCTGGAATTGGCTGCATTCCTATCTGCCCGACAAGTACTTCGCCGTTTTTGTGCCCTTCCTGGTGCTGGTCTTCGCCTGGTTCTTTGCCTTTCTCATCTATCCGGCTATAAATCTCTCGATGACTGTGAATGTGGATGCCATTGCCTCCGTGGTGGACCCGAAGTTGGTTCTGCCCAAGGGCACAGAGTTCACCTCCTGGACCCAATTGCAGAAGGGCAGGAGAACAAGGAATCCGAGACGAAGAAGCTCTCCCCTGTGAACTGCAACCTCTGCATGACCTTCCACCAGCCTGTGACGAGGGCGCCCATTGCACCACTGCGTTTTCTGGATCTCCAGGAAGTAAATACAGCATATTACAACTAAAAAACTAACAGATTGCCTTTTAATAATCCAAAAGAAAATCACTTTCTTCGAACGGTGGTCCAGCCGTCCTCGGGCTCCACGAATTCCTGGGCCTGCTGTTTGCGCGTTGCGACGGGTCATCCGGCCACTGCTGCTGGGAGCATCCTCGTCGTCCTGGCCCATTTCGTCATCATCCTCCTCGTCATCGTCGTCCATATCCTCATCGGAGGAGGAATCCCCCTCAATGGGCGTGTAGGTGATCTTCACATCTGGACGCAGCCACTCCTTCCCGCGGGAAGCTTACTCAGTTCCGCCTCTATTTGTGGATACTGATTCTGCTGGGCCAGCAGCTTGTAGCGCAGCAAATTCCGGCAAATCTCTGGGATGGAGTCGTCGTCGCAGAGCGTATTAAACTCCTGGTCCATCAGCTCCTCCACGACCTCCTGCAGCTCACCCTGGGTGATGTTTCATTCGAAATGCAGTACTGATAGGTGTAGTCCATGATTTCTATGGCCACCTGCACGGATGCATTAAGATAAGGTTAGAAGAGAGCCCATTTAGGGGGATGTATGAAACCACCTGTTGCCCATTGCGTCCGCCCATGCCATGCTCCACCGCCAGCCGGAGATCCTGCCAGTGGTTAAAGATCTTCTCCACAATTAGGCGGAAATTCTTTTGGAACTCGGTTTGTTGTGTGGCTGCCATGCTGTTCGGAATAGTGACATTCGCAGGGAGTAACCAACAGGGAGGTGTGCCATTCGCAGGGAATAACTAACAAATTATATATATTATTTTTAAAAGTATATTAATCGGTTTAAAGTTCTATAGATATGTTTAAATATATGTTTTATTTAATTAAATGGATTATATTTAATATTAAAACAGTGTTGCAAGCCGTCGAAAGTGTTATGATTTGACATTCTCTACGAGCCGCAACATTGCGCCAAAACTGCACCAAAATAAACAAATAGACCCAAAACCATGTCGGATGTAGAGATGTACCCGAAACCCAGCTGGAAATCGATGTGAGCGATGGAGCAGGATTGGATGAGGAGGATGACGACGATATGGAGCAGATCACAGCCCAGAAGGTGAGAAAACCATACAGGGAATCCTTCGAAACCCTATAAACTAGCCCCCTTCCGATTCCCAAAGGTGCTGGAGATCCTGGAGACGGCCTGGATCAATGAGATGTGTGCTCCCGAGATCCTGCCCAGCCAGACGGACATGCTGGAGCTGATGGTCTCCCAGGTGGCCCACATGGAGGAGCAGATGCGGGACCTGGACAAGAACGATTTCCGGGCGGTGGTGCACTCCATGGAGCTGGAGAGGGTGCGCTACATAATGGCCAGCTATCTGCGGTGTCGCCTCCAGAAGATCGAGACCTACACGCAGCACATCCTCAACCAGGAGGCGAGTCGCGAACCGGACGACAAGCGTCTGTCTCCGGAGGAACCAAGTTCGCCCAGGAGTTCGCCGCCAATGTGATGAATACTTCCACAAGGTGGCCACCCAGTACATGCCCAACCAGCAGAGGGGAGAGGCCGAGCAGAGGATCGTGACCCCCAACCTGATGAGCCATGTCTTCCTCAAGGCCAATGTGGCGGGTAATTACCCTTTTCCATCTTATTAAGATTAATGTTCCTAATGATGATTCCATTCCAGTGCCCGCCGTGATCGTGGGCGTCGATGATGAGGAGGTGGACATGGCCGCGGGTCCCAGCACATTATTCCCTACCAACTAGTGGCCGACTTGATACAGAACAACCAGGCGCAGTTAATTTAATAGGCTTATTAACAGGTAAAATACATTATAATAAAAATCCATAAAAAATGAATGCTAAGCTTATGACAGTCAAATGGTGAACTTCCGTAGAGATCCATAATTAATACATTTACGTTAATCTGAGTGGTTTTTGTAGATTAAGAAGCCAATTTTTCTTATAAATTTTTGCGATCTACTTATAAAATTATCTTTTCTAAAAACTAAGAAAAAATAGTAACAAAAACGAATGACTTGAGTTATACAATAGGAACACCATAAAAGGAGTTAAAAACCATCATTACATACCTTATTTAACAGACATTTCTAGGAAGGCACATTCAATTTTAAATTTAAACATCTGAATATGTTAATATAAAATAGTGTAAAAACTTTTAAAACCGGAAGTAAACTGCACAAAAGTGCCATTCAAATTGCGCTTCCGCGCGAAAGCCGGCATCGTGGCCAGTGTTGGTCAACGCCGCTCGCTCTCTCGGAACAGCTGCGCTTGTGCGTGACGTCACAGAGTATTACGTTTCCAGTGGAAGGAAGAACAGTGGTGAGGTGTACTTGTATGTAATGCGGCTATACACACGAACCACGCACTCAATTAGCCCCGAAATTCCCGAGTTCAGTCGTCAATGTGGCGGGCTTTGGCGCAAACGGCACTGAGAGCGGTAGATAGGTCACCAGCAGGAGCAGGACTACTCCCCCCCAAGCTAGCACCCCTAACGCTGACGCATCAATTGCAGTTGCGACATTCCAGCAAGGCCAGCCAACCGAATCCACAGCAACCACCTTACAAACTCGCCAGCATGAGCGTGGAGAAGCCAAAGGTTGTCTTCGTTTTGGGCGGTCCAGGAGCCGGAAAGGGCACCCAGTGCTCCAAGATCGTGGACCGCTTCCAGTTCACCCATCTCTCGGCCGGGGATCTGCTGCGCGAGGAGCGTTCCCGCGAGGGCTCCGAGTTCGGCACCCTGATCGAGGATTACATCCGCAATGGCAAGATTGTGCCCGTGGAGGTCACGTGCTCGCTGCTGGAGAACGCCATGAAGGCGTCGGGCAAGTCAGGTTCCTCATCGACGGCTTCCCCAGGAATCAGGATAATCTGGACGGCTGGAATCGCCAGATGGCCGAGAAGGTGGACATGCAGTTCGTGCTCTTCTTCGACTGCGGCGAGGATGTGTGCGTCCAGCGGTGCCTGGGACGGGGACAGAGTGGCTCCGGGCGGACGGACGACAACATGGAGAGCCTCAAGAAGCGCATCTCCACCTACAACAACGACTCGCTGCCCATCATCAAGTTCTTCGAGGGCGCCGGCCAGGTGAAACGGATCGATGCCAGTCCGGATGCGGATGCGGTCTTCGGCGAGGTGGAGAGGGTATTCCTGGCCAGCGGCTTCTAGATTTCATGCTCATTTTCCGCTTCTCTGTGTGTAGTGTGCTATCTTTACTCTTCATTTGTACTCCTCCAAATATATACGCTTGTTAATGGTAATGAAAGTTACTTTTTCTTCGCCGCGATAAGGTAAAAGATACATTGAAAAGTATACTTAATTAGGAAAAGAGGTACACATCTTTGTCGGTATACAGGAATTATTGAATTTAAGAAAATTGATTGATTTTGTGGAAAATTAAGTTTTAGTTAGAACATTTTGAAGGCAATAAACAGAAACAATAAAAATCACCTGTTCATATACTGTATTTAACCGAAATATTATTTACCAGCGATGTGTGTGCAGGTGTTATCTTGAAATTTCATTCGTCACCACTAAAAGGTGTTTTTCCATTATTATATATTAGAACAACTTATTAACTCAACTTCTTATAAAATATAATCAAATAACTTTCTCAACTCCTCTTGCTTAATTTTATTACAGACAGGCGTGAAATGTATACAACTTTTAAAATACCGAATTTTGCATAGCTCTAAAGTAACAAATATTGCGAATTTATGTAACTACCTAGTATTTCCCATTAATAGCTCGCAAATGGTAATTACTCATCGATTTTTCAAACACGCAGGGAAGCGAAATCACAAGCATTCTCTTTAATTTAATATTCGCTTTCTGGGATATACAAACGGGTGTGGAGTAGGTGGCTCTTATATAAAACGGGCAGGCAGTGGTTCTTGGGAGTAGCTCAATCCTTGCGCAGCTTGTCCAGGCGCGCCTGCAGATCCGCATCGGCATCGGACATGGGCGATGAGGCGCCACTGCCGCCGGAAGCTCCTGATCCCCCTGCTCCGCCTCCTCCTGCTCCGCCACCGCCTCCAGCGGCTCCTCCGCCACCCACTCCGCCGGCGGCCACAGCCTGTGGTCCCTTCTGGGCACCAACACCGCCTGCTATGGACAGGGAACCCGAGGCGGAGGGAAGATCTCCCAGCTGCTCGCCCAGCTGCAGGCCCAGTTCGTCTAGGACTTGTGAGACCACGGCATCCGTCTCCTCTTCATCGCCTTCATCCTCCATGGCATCGTCGATGGCGTCGTTGATCATCTCCTCCTTCATGTCCATCATTTCCGACTGTTTCTCGAAGTCCTGCAGGATCTTCTGGATTTGCGGGAGATTCAGCTGGCGGTTCATGTTCTGCATGGCCTTGGTGACACCTGAATGAAAGGTATAACAAGTTAGAAAGCTATGGATGAGCCTTTTGTCCAATATCTACCCTTCATGGCCTGCGCCATTGTGTTCTGTGACTTGAGCGTCTGGATTTTAAGGGACACCGCCTGGATGTTGGCCTTCATCAGCATGAACTTCTTGGCGTAGCGCCGTGTGCGCACCAGATCCTTGGCCATGATCTTCACAGCGTCCATCTGGCCCTCCTTGGCCATCTTCTTGATGTCTGCGATGATCTTCTTCTCCTGCTGCTCCATCTTCATCCGCTCGCGGTCCAAGTCCCGCATCGCCTTGTTCAGCGCCCGCTGGTTCTTGCGCAGCATCTCATCGGGGCTGATCTTCTTGCCGAATAGCCAGTCCATTTTCAAGGATGTTTTCTAACTACTAAATCCAATTGCGAAGGAATGACGAAGTTTCTTAGAGATTCCCAAAGATTACTCATCAACCAAAACAATAAGCGCAGGGTGTGTACGATTGTGAGGTGGTTAAGGCGTGTACGCGCTTACGGGCGAATGGTTATTAGATAGAAGCAGCTATGCCGGTGCACTTGAATTTGAACTGTTTTCACTGATTGCATTCCAAATAAAAATGCAATAGCAACAGGTGTCATAAAGGCATTTCTAAAATCATCTGCCTATTCCATTAATAGTATTTTATTAGGCAAAAATATCTTTAATATATTTTAGAAAAATAACTTCTACAAGATCTTTAAATAGTGTTCAAAAAATCTTAAAATCATATCGATTTATATATCCCAAGCATTTAATTAGATGTCTACAAGGTATTTTTTATATGCTTAGAGAGTATAACTAAACTTAAGAGGAATATTTATAAAATATCTTCAATATGGAAATAAACGATCAGAAAATGCAACGTAATAAAACATGTTAGTTAACAGAAGTGAGAACATGGTATTTCCGGTTGCATTGACCACCTTACTTTTAATCACTCCCGTTACGCGCTTCGCTGTGAACGGTTGTGCGTCAGCTGCAGTTTACATTCCAAATAAAATCATGAAGGAGTTCGACGATTTTAACTTTAGCGTTGAGAAATGTAAGTTTTCCTGTTATATTTTCTCTAAAAGATCTGTAAAGTAGCTTTCTTCCCCAGATACCAAAGACCTGACCCGAGAATGTGTGGGCGGCAGCGATTTGCAGCAGCGAAAAAAGGAAATCGAGGCCTACAACGAAACTACGGCCGCAACTTTGAAGCAAACATGCAAGAAGAACTACATGGAGTTCATACAGACGGCCAAGGAGATATCGCGTAGGTTACGCCCCCTAAAACATATATATCCCCAATAACACGCCTTTCAGATCTCGAGTCGGAAATGTACCAACTATCCCACATTCTGATTGAGCAGCGCAACATTTTGGCCACCATGACGGATGGCAAGACCTCCAGTCACCTAAAAGCAGAGAGTTGGAGGCGGAGAGCTCTACGGCGGCGGAGGAGGTGGAAACAGCCATGCCACGCGGGCGGTCAAGGAGATGGTGCAGGGATTCAATGGCAATCTGGAGGGCAAGACCTTCCTCAACGAGGGAGCCCTCATTGAGTTGGATGGCAATGACTACAGGCCCATCCAGAGGGTCTTCTTTTTCCTCTTCAACGATGTGCTGATTGTCTGCAAAGTTAAGCATGATAAGTAGGTCTCTCCATCACATATGTAATCCATAACTAATAATATATCCCCCCAGACGCCTGGACTTCCTCACCGAGTACGATCCCAAGAAAATAGCCGTGATCAACATCAAAGACTGGATGGCGTAAAGAATGCCATTAATATCATCACACCCGACGGTTCCAAGATCTACCAAGCATCACGGCAGCGGGCAAGACCGAGTGGATCGAAAAGCTCGAAGAGGCCTTCCGCTTCGACCAGCAAAAGAAGCCCAAGAAGGGACAGGCTCCCCAGCCTCCAACTCGGGCCAAACAGCAGTCGAAGAGTACCACGCCGGAAAAGGAAACCACTCCCCAGAGTCCGGGAGAGCCCAAATCCCTTGAGGACGAGACGCCCGAGTGGCTGAGCACGGCCAGCGAGGAGATTCAAACGCTGGTGGCCCAGCGGCACTTCGAGGACGCCCAAGAGCTGATCAAGCGCACCCAGGACTTTATGCGAAACGAGAGCAGAAGAAGGTGCCACTGGCGGACGCCATCGAGAGCAAGGTAAGCAGCAGGAACTGAAGCTGATCAATGTGCTGCTTAAGGAGTTGTCCAACAGTCACAATCGCAATCTGCAAATCGCTTTAAGGGCCGCCAAGAGACCCCTAAAGATTCTCGTGAAATGGGACGCTATCGACAGGCGAGCGCCACTTTGCTGAAAGTCTGCGCAGTTAGCTTACGGGTGGCCAAAGGGAGGCGCGCCGGAATAATGCGGATATATCGGAGCTTTTCTTCTGTGATCTGACGCAGGTGGCCTGCGATTTTCTTACCGCCTTC